GTTATTGGTGGAGAACATAATCTAAAAAATGTATTTTTGTTCTTTGTACCTCCAGACAATGACGTTGATTATGTACCTTGGTTCAAGGATTTTCTATTGAGTTGTGTATCATGTTGTAGTGCTTTAGATTGCAATACATAAACAGCATTCTTTATAAGTCTTATGACTGTTTGATTGTGGGTCAGACTATCATGACTGTTGGCTTTATACTTGTTTAACTGATTGGGTCTTGTGTGTCCAGATTTTTTTGTGACTGGGAACCCTGACACATTCACAACATTTTAGTAGATAGAGACCGATTTCCCACAAGCCGCTGCTCCGCCCTTGCTCTTCCCTTTCCCCCGATTGTATGTGTCAATTTCCCACTATTTGCTTCATGGCCACATTTTGCCCTGCAGCTTTACCCAATTTCCCCCGCTTGTACTCGATCCTCAAAAAAAGAGGATCGAGTAGATGCGGGGGAAATCAGGCAAAGCTGCGGGGCAAAATGTGGCCGTGCAACAAATAGTGGGAAATTGACACGTACGATCGGGTGAAAGGGAAGAGCGAGGGAAGAGTGAGGGTGGAGCAGCGGCTTGTGGGAAATTGGTCAGAGAGAACTTTCACAACAGCCTATTCATTTCTCAATGTTATCTGTTAGTGCATTCCTCTGTGACTGCTAGTTCTCTTGCAAACGAGATAAAAATCTTGTCCATTTTGAAACACGGTGGTTTCTGATCATGAGGGCCCATGAACCATTACTCTTTAGCAATAATATATTTGGGCCTCTGGGCCCAGCCTACATTATTAATTGTTACAGTCAGATATATATCAAATCAATATATATTGATTTTTGTAAAGAGTGTTAATATTGATACAACAATTGGTTACATAACTGCTTAAAATGACTAATACAGTCAGATATTTGACTGGTATATGCTGTCTTGCAATTCAAGATCTAACTAAGTTCTTGGAAATTGCAGATATTTCTTTTTTCTTAAGAACATAAGATAAGCCAATGTTGGATCAGGCCAGTGGCCCATCCAGTCCAACACTCTGTCACACAGTGGCCAAGAATACCAGGTGCCATCAGGAGGTCCACCAGTGGGGCCGGGACACTAGAAGCCCTCCCCCTGTTGCCCCCCTCTTCTTCTTCTTCTTCTTCTTCTT